AGAAATAGGAGCTATTTTCTTTTTTCTTTTTTTGGTTTTTCTCCGGTACCAGGAACCGAACTCACGACCTTGCGCTTGCCAGGCAGGCGCTTTTGCCGCTGAGCTAAATCCCCAGCCCCTTCTTTTTTATTTTAAAAATAAAAGGAGGAAAGCATTAACAGACAGACAACATTTTGGAATTGTTTTCAAATGGCCTGAAGTTCTTTTTAAGAGAGTCATGCCATTTAGATCATCCTCAAACACATTCTAAGTCCCCCACAAAAAACAAATCACATTTACATGTTTTTGAATACTACATAGTCAATGTATTTGTTTTCAAATGATATCAAATTTTATGCTATAGAATGGTATTGTTTTGTGTTATGTACCCAAATTACAGAACACTAGGGCTTCTCGTATGAACCACTTATCTTTTTACTAGATTTATAAAAGGGGGAAACATGGTGATATAAAAACTGTGGTACAAAGACTCTTAGGTTCCCAATCAGGCATTAACTAGCTGTGTGAGCTATGAGGACTTAGACTAGTTACTAACCCAAGAACAATTTCAGTTTTTTCCTGGTTGGTAATAGCAAGTTCTGACTCCTGACCTTTAAAGCTCTTCTCTGCTCTAGAATTCTATACTTTGGATATTTATACTTGAGCTTTCACAATTTTTACACCACACTGCTTCTAGTTACAACTTTGTTCCTTTGTGAAATTATAATCTGCTTTATCACTACTTTAGGCAGGTTTGGCAGGAGTTTATCGCGAGGAAAAATAAGGATTCCCTGCATTAAACCCTGGATGGGATTGTAGATTCAAAGGGCAAATAATTATTTTTTCCCTTTTATTGAGAACAGTACTTTAGCTCATTGTTTAACTTTAACTCATTAGTTTCTATGTAAAAGACAATATTAATATTAGAAAAATGGCTTAGATCTGAGTTCAGTTTTAAATTTTGAAAAATATCAGTATGAAACACTTCCCACAGCAAGCCTCTTACCTATCAGACACAAACAGAGACAAGATCAAACCATTTAGATGCATGCATGCACTGTAAATCCCACTATAGCTGAAGTGGGAGACCTTGACAATAGCTTCAAATGTGGAAAAAGATATTTATACATTATGATAACTCTAGGAGAGTAACTGTAAAAGAGAATGTTAAAGCAAATAAATTTTAATTTCAAATATATACAAGAAATATCAGTGGACAAAGCTTGCCAGGTGATCCCAACAAGTCAATCTTGCAAGAGCTACAGCACTCTGTAACTTGTATAAGTGTGTGGGACTCATGTGTGTGGACACACAGGAACACACCAAGTGTGCCCTGAGTCCTTCTCACTTTGCAGATTTCTGCTTACACCCACATCCTCATGGATCTTTTAGAGAACACATGCCACCCTCACCCAGCAGCCTGACTCTTTGAAAGTCTGTGGTATTTCCAGTGTGTAGTACACAGAACACATTTAGAACATAATTACTCTCTATAGTGTTACTAAATGAGCCTATTCCCTTAACTATGTCAGCATATCCTCCAGCAGATTTTCAATAAAGCTGAGCACATAGTAAAGGCTTAACTAATATTTTCTGGTTAAATAAATCAGATGCCAAAAACTTTGGTTGTTTGTTTAAAATGGGAACAAATTTGTACTCTTGCTCAGCCTCTGTCAACATTTGTAACTCAGTGTGTGTTTAATTTTCAGTGTGCACTTAAAAATATTTTTACACTGAAAAACTGTTCAAAAATATTACTCAGTAAAATCAATAATTCTGCAGTGAAGTTTCCTTAACTTTCTCAAAAACACTCCAATGTTACAGTTGCTTGTCTAAAATAGAGTTCTTAAATCTATTTCAAACTCTTTCTTGGCACTGATTTGTTGAAAGGACCTGATTTGTTATCCTCAAGAATATTTCACAGTCTAGATTTCTCTGGTTACTTGCTTTTGGTATCATTTAGCTTTCTCTTCTATCTTTTGTAATTCTTGTAATCTGAAAGTGACTGTCTCTATGTTTTTAGCTAGAACATGTCATAGATAATAATGTGGAGTTCAACTGTACCTCTGAGGAAACATACTACCTGGCTATCATATTATTAGTGTTAACATTAGTCTCTGGATTAAGGTAATGACAGTCTGATCTCTCCACTGTACCCAATGGTAAATTTCATAGTCTAGTTGATGGCTACAGATTATAGCAAAGTTATAAATATTCTTACCTATGGCCTTGCCCCTTTAAAGATGGCATTTAACCAGCCAAATTGGAACACTGTAATTTCCAAAGAGTAGCATTTTAATGCTATGCTAGGATGGGTCTTTTG